ACTGATCCGTAGCTTTGGGCCCAAGCTCTATACCGACTATCCCAAGCCTCCTGTTCCTTCGCTTCTCATCGATGGCACGAGTTGGTTGGATGTGATCGGTTTGGCAAAGAGGTACATCTCCCCAGCGGTGATCGACATTGAGGCGTTGACTGAGCCTACTGCGTATCCCTACCTCAGACGAGGGGTCTTTTCGGTGGACGGGCTGCCTACATTGTGGGAAGAGTTTTGCTCTATGGTTGATTACCGTGTTATGTGCCTGGGATGGTCGTGCTCAAAGCTTGCTGGCTACAGGTGGCATTTTGTCATGAAGCCTCGGTCTCAGACTGTACGTGGGCATGGGTCTCGACACCAGGGAAGATCAGTGAAAAAAAATTGAGAGAGACAGATCAGAGGGATGAGTGAGGACTCTTGAGAGGTGCTGACCACGCTCGTTTATGTGTACTTTCTGTGACTATTATGAGTTCTCATTCTTCCCTCATTCAATTGCCTCCGCTTTTGCTCGAGTCAGTCAGTCTTATTTTCAGCATTATTCTTGCTTGATGATTGCCTCAGTGGATGTTTTGTTACGGTTCTCAAAATCAGATTGACATAATTGATGCATGCATAGCACCCCATGATTTTATGATTATTATTTGTATAATTCTCTACTGTTCCGAATCAAAATAAAAGATTCCTAAGACTAGAAACCGGCGAAGATCACAATTGAAGGGTCTCGCTCGAAGCCGGACGCACACAACAGGAAGGGATTTGCATTATTTAATTTATTTATTTGTTGCAATCACATACAAAATCCTGCGTAACAGCCTGTTGGCTTTCTGGTCGCCCGAAGAGGCTCGGCTGGAAAAAGTGCGACTGCGGGCTGCATACTCAGATCGATGCGTGGAGAGTGGCCACACCCCCCACGCTGCGATCTGGCCATGCAGAACGTAGGCACTCCCTCCCCTTCTCTCTGTCTAAGTCCTTGCAATTCCGTGTTCTTCTCGCATGCATGTACGCTATAAATTTCGGCTGCGCGATTAGATAGCTCTCTTAAACAGTTGCTGGAAGCTCGGGGTAGCGCGATCAGTGAGGGTCGGTTCACGAGCAAAGTAAGAGGTGAGTTGAAGTGGGACTTGGGCGACCCAACGAGCTGGTGCCGAATGTGCGGGATTGACGCGTGGGGCTACGACGGACTGTAGCGCGCGAGCGAATCCGACGGCACAGGAGGACTAAGCGGGGTGACAACTTCGTGGGTTGGTGTGTGATGACGGACTGTCCGCATCGGAGAGAGAGAGAGAGAAAGGGAGATGAGGATGATGGGCGCGGAGCTGTAATTTCCTTTGTAATTTTCTTTGTCCTTTTCCTTGCTTCTGTATATAAGTTTTGATTTCGGCTCGGGCAATTCGCCCTTATTTTCCTTCGGCATCTTTGTGTCTCGATCCTTCCTTTCTTTTGTATATTGGATGAACGAGTTTTGATGGAATGATACGCTTAACATGTTATTCGTTAAAATAGGACATTATACTGTGTCCTCTTTCTAACGAATTCATTTTTGACTGCATTCCAAGCAACGTAGACACGCCCATCCACGGCTTAAGCACATGCAGAAGTGTGCTGAGATCCGTACTTGTGAAACTTTATAAATGATATCCCAAATGAGGAAGCGTGTTCAAACCCGTACATGTTAGGCACGCCGTACGGGAACCTTGTGTGGAAGTGTGTCGGGATCCTTACTTGCTGAACTTCAAAAACATGACACTGCTGGGAATCTTGTGCGGAAGTGTGCTGGGATCCGTACTTGTTAAACTTCATAAACGAATAACGACAGGCACGCCCATCACGGAACCCTGTGCAGAAGTGTGCTGGGAGCCTTACTTGTTGAACTTCAGAAATGTGCCGTGAATCTTGTGCCGAAGTGTGTCGGGATCCGCATTTGTTAAACTTCATAAACGAATAACGACAGACACGCGCATCAGGGAACCCTGTGAGGAAGTGTGCTGGGATCCGTACTTGTTAAACTTCAATTCCATAATTGTGACGAGCAATGTGTCATGATTGCATCCTCGTTGGATAATTATATTAGAAGATGTAGAGTAGCGACAGGCACGCCCATCCGGGATGCCTGTGCGATAGTGTGTCGGGAGCCACACTTGTCAAACTTCAAGTTTGTGAATGTGATGAGCAAGTTGTCATGATTGAATCCTTGTTGGATAATACTATTTATTTATTTTATGTGTGAGTTGTACATGCATGGCTATCGTCTCGTCCGAGGCGGTTGTCTGGATGTTGTAGAGATTCAGACTTCTTTAGAAGTACAAACAGTAACTGTTATTTTTGACATACAATTTATTTTTCCCGGTCAATAACGCAAAATTGTCGGTCACATGTAATTCAGGCGGTCACAAGTACATGATTGTCTATGCACACAAGAGACGTGATGTCACTGGTCTTTCACTCTTTGCATAACGAACCTCACACCCACACACTCGTCGAGATTTGTCTTGCATCCACACTCCAATTCGTCGTGTTGCACCACACACACGAATATCATTTCGAGGTGAATTATATGCACAACCTTGGATGACCTGGACACAATTTGCAACGAGGACTGCAATGCGATGAATGTAATGACACAACAGACGAGCCGGACCTGACAGAGATTCCGAAGGCAATACGCGACACCAAACTGGCAGTCAACATACCAAAGACAACTCAAACCTGCAACATTGGAATGTCGTTGTGAAAGCGACAGTTAAAATATGAAATATTCTGAAACAGAAGTTTGCAAATCAATCGAATCCATCAAAGACAACGACATTCCAAGACACATGATGCCAGTTGTCGTATAATATACGGAATATTTTTACAAGAGAACCTGAAAGGCGGTCGATCGCCACGTTGCAACAGTGTCGCAAACATCAACATAAACACCCCGCAACTAACTCCATCCACTTGTCTTGGAACTCCCTCTATAACAACATTTACTGCCACCGACTTCCAGCACCGGCACGAGCGCCTATGTGATGTTTCACATTCCAAATAGTGTACGATCAACTCGAAAACACTAAGGTAAAAACTAGAATCGGCTACAACGCAAGGAAAARAATCGAAAATCTCMAGAAYATTATCTCTCAAGCTCACGGAAAGGAGGATCCAGTGATCATTATCTTTGAGGACTGGAACAAAGATAATATCATATTCAAGCAGATCCACATTTTTAGCCCATCTTTCCACCCCGCCGTGCCCTTGAAGTTGCAGTTTACTGAAGAAGAAAGAATTAAAGGTGAAGACCCGAAGGCCTGGCGGGATGTCACTTGTCCCATATGCGGTGGTTCCTAAAAGCGTCATGTAGAAGTTGACCACCTCATCATTCACCCTGCCATCGGTAAGTGAGAGGGTGAGAATATCCTTCGCATTCGCAACTGACCATCGTGAAGGGTCGAGAGTACAGTGTCTGGTGGCACCAAACCTCGTTTAATGTTATCCAAAACCCGCAAGCTTCCAATCGCAATCACTGCTATTCCAGGTGCCGTGGCCCGCACTGCACAACATCGAGCGAAGGACAGGGGGGGAAGTGAGAAACGGAACACTAAGGATTCTCCTTCATCGCACGGCGAGAAGCTAAGTATTTCTCATACATGGCCTGACCCCTAGTCACAGATCGTGGATATGTCCCTTTCTCTGGGGGCCGAAGGGAAAGACACTCCTCAATGGCAATGGCATGCTCCTTCTTCCCGATTTCGACATCAACCCCTAAAGCCTTTAACATGTCCTTGTGTTTTGTCATCAACCCCGGGACTGTATGCAATATGTGTTTCGGATATTTAGAGGGTCTCCGTGTTCGAGACGACCCTACCCCTGTACAAAAGAAGAAAGACAAAACGGAAAGTGAATACATGTTTCCGAAGAAGAACCCGACGAAACGATAATTAAAGGACCACGAAATCTAAAAGACGCAGGACCCATGTAATTACAGAACCCCGTCATGCCATGAGAGTGCGAGAGAGAGAACTTCCGCACGAGCCACGTTGCAAAACAAAACGAGCAGTGCACTCAAGCTCGACACCCCCGCCCTTCAGAAGGGAAAAGCACATCAAGTCATAGAAGCGGAAGGCAAACATCTCTGAAGTCCGGATCCCGACGGACTTTTCCAACCCATGGGGATGACCCAACCCTTGTGCAACCGAAGGAAGAGAAAACGGAAAATGAACTCACGTAATCCAAGACGAACCCGACGAAAACGACAACTCAAGAACCACGAAATGTAGAAGACGCARGACCTATCTATTTASAGAGCSCCGTTTAGCCATGAGAGAGATAGAGAATACTTCCGCGCAGGCCCCGCTGGAAAACAAAAGGAGCAGTGCGTTCGACCTCGACACCCCCGCCCTTCAGARGGGAAAACCTCAACAAGCCACAAACCCGGAGGCCAAACATTTGTGAAGTCAGGATCCCAGCGGACTTTTCCCAATCGAGGCACCAGAAGAGTAACCGCGTTACACAGCGGCCTTGGCAGTACGGATCCCGGCGGACTAAAACCACCACTCATTCTGAAAGAGAAACACCATCCTTCAATTATGTGAGGGAACGCTTCAACAAAAACACACATGTTTTTGTCTCGTGCGCATTAACAGACACGGCGGTCATTGGCGCGCAGACAGAGTGGCGTTTGTCACTGCTTACCAGCTGGTTTGTCTCTCCGCTCCTTAATCGGCAAAGTTGGCGCGGGCAAGGCCAGCACGTCGAGAACTCGAGTGCCGGCGACAGTCTTTTTCGGGGATGTGACATCTTGTCGTCCCCCGATCCCGCCTTCTCCTCCGCTGGCGATGGTCGGCGGCAGCATCGGAGAGCTCGTCGGCGAGAAATCGACGACAGATCCCCTGGAAGGTTTGACGTCGAGAGGGTCGTCGACACCAGGCGTCGAGGACCGCTGCGCGAACATGTGGTGGTCGCCCAGGATGCCGTCGATAACTTCTTCGATGTCAATACGCACACTCGGTTTAGTCAGGCTGACTGCTACACGAGCTTCGTTGAACCGGTGTTGGAGATCGACGACAGACGTCATTGCTTGGACCTCATAGTCGTCACGTTCTGCAGAAAGGCTTGTGACCACCTATGTCTCCATACCCAGTGCCGTGTCATTGTCGTCCTCGTCTTCCTCGCGGTGTTCTCTGTACAGCTGCCCGAATCCGTCAGAAGACTCCCCAGATCTGTCATCGTCGTCGCCGGAAGTCCGTTCGTTGTCTCCTGTATCAAGTTCCTGCCCTCCTAGCAACCCAGCCAACTCCGTTTCTTCCCCTTCCTCTCCTTCATCCTCTTCTTCCTCCCCTTCATCCCTTCCTTCCTCCAATTCCTCCCCTGTGTCTCCTTCCTCCACTTCCTTCTCTTTGCCCATCACCCTGCCTTCTTCCCCTGCATGCAATGCAGCCACTTCGCCCGAGCCCGTGTCGATTCTCGATGAATGCGCTTCCCGCCCGCCGCACGCAGCCCCTCCCGCCTGCACCAATATCCCTGGTTGGTCCCCCTTGCCTGAAGATGTTCGGATCCCGGCGAACTTCGCGGACTCCCTGTCGCTGGGCCCTCCACACGCCTTGCCTGAAGAAGTTCGGATCCCGGCGAACTTCGCCGTCTCCCTGTCGTCGGGCCCTCCACACGCCTTGCCTGGAGAAGTTCGGATCCCGACGAACTTCGCCGTCTCCCTGTCACCGGGCCCTCCACACGCACCCTCTCGCTTCGACCGAAGCGGTTGGCAATCCTCCGCAGGCGGCGAAGTCCCGTCCCTCACCGCACCGCTGTCTATTTTGGGATGACGACTCGCCACCCCCGGTCCTGACCAGCTCTGCGCGTCCGTCCTCTCTGTCCGCTCTGCAAGCATTGAAGTTCGGATCCCGGCGGACTTGAACGTTTCGACTGAGCCGGCATGGAGAGCAACCAAGGCTGCCATCACCGAGCAGGCGGATGAACTGGGCACGTCCTCCGACTGTGCCGAGCATTCCGGACCGGGATCGGTAGACTGCTGACGCCCGAGGGCCTCCCCCGCCACCCCGCCGCTGCCTTCCGCTGTCGTGGTGTCGCCCTGAGACCCGCCCTCAGCCTCGTCGCCGTCTTGTTGTCGCCCCGGGACTCGTTTGCCGCCCCCAGCCTCGTCGCCCTCGTTCTCCCCACCTTCCGGTCCCCGAGACCCTGTACTTACATGCGTCCCATTGGGAGGGGGGATTTTCCAGTCCACCCTTCCTTTCGAGGGGCTCGTGTCGAGGTCGTAGTAGTCCTCCGTCAGCTCCAACCAGCACTTGTCCTGAAGTTCGACGAACAATCGCCCGACTGTGGAAATGACAGACACGTCTTCGGGTGCGAAAGAGCCATTCTCGGCCCTCACTTTCTGGAGGACCGCAATTCTAGCAACGTCGAGGAAGTCAGACTTCGACCCGCGAGGGAGTGGCATCCATCCTCCGTCCGGGACAGCGACCGCCACGATCCACTCACCCTTTTGGATCGCCGGCTGGATGACTCCTGGATGCCATATCATGTCATGGCCCCAGTCCGCCTCCGTGGAACGACTTTGAGGCTCAGGCAGGAAGTGAATGTTGGCATTCGTCCAAGACTGATGATCGGGCGGGATGTCAGACCCGGGACGCAGTGAGCGATGGTCGGAGGCCAGAGCTTGCATTCTCTGCAGCAACTTCATCGGGGTAGTGTCAGGCGCCGGTTTCGCCATCGGTGACACGAGGGACGCTGGGCTTGTCGACGGACCTGCCAAGGACGACCCTGTACTGTGCTGCGCGAAATGTTGGTCGTACTGCAGGTCGAGGCTTTCGGTGTCGCTGCCCTCCTCGTCCGTGGTCGCGTCGAACTCGATGCCGGTGGTCTCCTCGTCTTCCGTGGAGATCAAGGAGGAGTAATTGCCGAACGTCAGCTCCTCCTCTGACTCCACGAAGTAAAGGGACTGCAACCTCTCGAGGAAGGTCTTCGTGTTCATGCGGGAGGCGCCGTGGTAGTTGTCGAGCAACGTGAACATGTGGTCCTTGCGGCGCACGTACTCGGCGTCAGTGTCTCTCTTCGGCCACGTTTGCAGGAACAAGAAGTCGTATATCTTGTTCCGCTTCCTCGCACTGAACTTGAACCACATGTCCGTCTTGTTGTTCCACGCGCGAGCCCGAGTCTCGGTGACGACCATGAACTCGCAATTGTGGGCACCCGAATTGACCTCGCTTTTGACGAGATCAATTGTAAATTGCAAGAGCTCTGAGTTCCCTTCCATCACGATGACGTGCCGTCCTGCCTTCAGTACTTCCCAGACTGACCGCGCGTGTGGCTTCCCGAGGAAGACGACACCCTCCCCTTTCTTGGTGATGGATTCGAGAAGCTGAACGAATTGGGCGGGGTTGCGTTCCATGTCCCCGTACACAATGCCCCGACGTGCAGGCGAGGTATGCGACCAGTCACAAGCGTTGAATGGGATGTCGGACACATCCGTTTGTGTAACCTTCTGTGGTACACGCACTGCAGCAGCGGCGCCTGCCGGCAGTTTCCCCTCGTAGACGACGGACGTGTTGGCCCGCAAATCGTCGCCTTTGAAGAGTATGTACATCCGGTCGTCTTCCGTGTACAAATTGTTCCCGACGGGGAAGCTTTTCTTCTGTTGACTCCTCCTCACCCACTTCCCTTCCAGCAGCTTGACGAAAGAAAGATGGTTCATGCTGGCCAGAAAGGAGAGGTTCTGCTGCCGTGGGACAAAAACAACGAGCGTCCAATGCGACGGACACCACGTCTGGAGTTGGGAATTCAGAGTGTCGAACGCTTGCAGTTTCCAAAGCTTCAGGTCCACCGGTTGGCACAGATCGAGGACGAATGTGTGACTCTTTGTGGCAACCACTGCCTCCTTCACCTCCGCACTCCTTATGTCTGCCTCCAAGGGGTCGTTGCCGAATGGCGCGATGGATGTCACGTCGCCCGTGTCATTCCATTTTATGTGCACAATGCCTTCGGCGAGCGCGATCTCTCGACTCTTCAGTCTACTGCCAGTCAACACGGACAGGACCTTATTCCGCCAGTCAACGGACAACTTCTTGTGACCGGCCAGCTTCTCCGTCGCCTTGATCGATCTGTCGTCGTCGCAGCCCATGTAGGGCAGGCAGTCCTTGAACAGCGAGGAGTCAATGACGTATTTCGTGCTCCCGTCCCACAACTCAGCATCCAAACCACGACTCTCAAACTGTCGGAAAATTGCGGACCTTGATTTCAAGAACGGGAACCTCTGGCTCCAATCCGCGTCCGGCCTTTTGTCGTGCTTGAACTGGTAGTAGTTCCACAGACGCACCAGCACCCGGTCGCACTTCACCAAATTCACCACCTCCTGGACGCTCAGCTTTCCGAGCTTCGCCGACGCTGGGGAGCCGGCCTGTACCCAAACCACCTCACAAGCGAGCACATTCTTCAGGACGCGGCACTTCTTGTTGTCTGTCAGCGACTCCATCGTTTTCCAACAATGCGCGTCCGGCTCTGGCACTTGCACGAACCACTCGCCCTCCTCTTTCTCCTTTTTGCCTTTCTTTGTCGGCGGGTCCACAGGGACGTTGTACACGACCTCCTTCCTGCCCAGCTTGTCATTATGGATGTATGCAACCCCAGGCTTCACGTTTTTGACTTTCTTCTTCCGCATGATCCACTTTGCGCCGTCGTGTCCGAGCAATTTGCCTGTCTCCCATTTCTCGAAAAAGTCGACGGCCAGTTTCCAGACGTTCTCCCCTGCCAGCGCCTTGTTTCCTGATGGCCTCCTCGCCCTGCTGATCTGCGAGAATCCACAAGTTGTTGTGTGGTGTCATGTTGAGTGCAACATTACAGAATTCACGCCACTTCCGGACCTGATCCTGTTTTCCGTTGAGGTTCCCCATAACAGCACGCGGGCAACCGGCGCGCTTCCACTGCCACCTAATGTCCCTCATTGACAGCTTCAGCTGTCGTGGGGGCGCCTTCAGGTCCTTCTTGTTGTCCTGGGAACTGACAAGGAAGTACCCTTCGAAGTCGTCGTCCGAAAAGTAGACCATTCGTGCAGGCCACCGCTCAAAATTGTATTTCCTGGCCACCTCGCTGCCGAGCAGCGACCTCGCTGCAGCCGCGTTGTGCTGCCCACACACCGCGTAGTAGTAGTATTGTCCCGCCAGCTCATCCCTCCAATCCTCCGGTCTCAAACGTTCTGCCTTGGTCCCCGGAGTCGGTTTATCAAGCCCCAACGGCGCCAGTTTCAGGGTTGGTAAATCGTAAGACTGCGCTTTGTTTTCGAATGCCAACCGCATCGCTTCTTTGATCCCTTCCACGAGCACGGGATCCAGGGACCGCTGGTTGTACAGGTCCTCCCAGTCCCCGAGGTCGACGACCTGCGCAGGGCTAATGTCGAACTCCCGCTTTGTCCGAACGCCGTCTTTGTACTCGAGGAAGTACCCGGCGTCGACGTCGATGGGAGTCCCTGTTGTCGATGGAGAAGACGGTCCAGACTCAGGCTGCTTCTGTCTCGAAGACGGTCGTTTGGCAACCTGCCGGCCCTGCTCCCCCTCGGTCCCCTTGCGTTTCTCCCCCGCAGTCCTGGGGGCCTTGCTCTTTAACTTCTTCGTAGAACCGGCGAACTCGTCTGGACGATCCCCCCTCCTCTTTTGCGGAGCTCCTTGCGAGCCCAGGCCTCCCGCGTCCACCTCCTCCACACCCTGTCCCTCGCTCGCCTCCAAGTCGACCTCCGAATAGGCCGCCACCTGTACTGCAGGCCCCGTACTCTTCCGCTGAACCGGAGCATCAGTCTGAACCCCAGGAATAGACAACACAGACCGCCTCATGTCACTCAACGGTGGAGCACTCCCCTCATCCTCGCTGTCGTCGAACTGACCTCGGCTCTCGCCATGGTGCAGTTGAGTGGCGGGACCAGAACCCAGATCACCGCCCTCCACCGCTGCCCCGCTTGACTCGCAACCGCTGCACAGCTTCAACGGCAACGACAGCTCCAGGGATGGGTTGACGTCGCAGGGGACGTCTAGAGCGATGTTTTTGTCCTCCAACATGTCAAAAAATTCACGCGCCAAAACAAAACCGCCCCCGAGAAAGAGTTCTCAGTAGAACGGGGTGTTCACAGCACCCGCTCCGAACCCCTCACACAATTCAAGGTCCAACAACGTCCCTTTCGAATTGGCAACGAAGTTGCCCTTGGCGCCATAAACTTTCTGCATATAGAAATGTCGCCGGCCCCCCTTTGCGTCCTCCCACCGCAAAACGGCACCAAGCACTCTACGCCTTCTGCTGTCATCGATGAAGATGACAGGACCACATGGCTGCGCAGTGGGGTTGGAAGCGTCTCCACAGCACCAGTCGATGAACCATTTCGACCTCGAATGGTTTGACCACCCCTGCGTGGCAGTAGACGACCGCCTTGTGGAATCTTTTCGTGATTCCTTCCCAGAGGTCCCTGTTGGCTCCACCTCGCCCTTGGAAGAAGACATACTATCTGCCAACGACAACGCAAATCGAACAGCACACCATGAAGTCAACGTCTGTCAAAACACAAGAGAAACAGAACACTCGCTGCCGCACGTCAACGCAGGCTGTAGCGCAGCGAAAGCCGCACACGAAGACACCTGGGCACCCAAATCCGGAATGGTGAGAAGGGGTAGTCCGTCGGGATCCGAACTTCAAGAGGGTAAGAGACCGAGAGGCAGACACCGCTGGTTTTGATAGCAACAGTCATTGAGTCCAGGCGTGATTGGTAGCAGGACCGTTTCCGACTCCGCTCAGCACTTGAAGCTCGGAGGCCGGTAGGACGCACAGGCCAAACCGCGAAGTTCGCGAGGATCCGAACTTCAAGAGGGCGCGACACGGAAAGAGACGGCGTGCACTAGCAACTGCTGCCTCCCGCGCCTTTCTCCACTACCAAAACTCTGCTATGTTCGGCAGCACACAAGCCTCTCACTCATCTCCCTTCTTTTCGCTTAAGCAGGATGTCCAACCACACGTCCAGATCTTGTGACAATCGCGGTTCCCCGGGGACGAGGTCGCAAACCGTAGCCATACAAAGCATTCATTGTCGATCCGTAAACGCGGACCAGCGGATCGTCGACCGTTGCAGTTTCCGAAAAGCGGACATGTATTTCATCCTAACAAACACTCCCGGTCGTGCTAAGGAGTTACCTTTACAGTCCCGTATGGCGGACGCTTTCTCCTCGACCTCCCTAAGCAACGAAAAGTTTTGGACCGGCCCTGCTATAACCAAATCTCGCCACCCATCTACAAGTTCAAGCCCGGGCGTCGGCACGAATTTGGACCCCTCAATTACCACCTCGTTGCGTGATACAAGCACAACTGCATCGACGAGTTTCATGCTCTTGTTCGACGGAGCGACACATAGGACTCTAGCGAAATCAGACCCGGACACAGTCAATCGCACACAACAGTATGACACAACTTGTGGAGAATTCCCGGGGCACCGGAGTGGGTACTGGCCCAGGAACGAGCAGTGACGAGCGCAGTCCAGCAACTCTTGTTTCCGCGAGCCTCCCCAAGTTCGCGACGACGACCTGACATAGTGGCATTCGAGGCGGCTGAAATGGCGGCTAATGGAGCCCAGTGCTCTGCGCATGTGGTTCAGGAACTTGTGTCCGAGGACAGCGTCAGACAGCGGGATGAGGTTTCCGAACTCCAACATATTGGCGAATTTGTACTGGCTTGCCCAAGGGCAGCGACTCTCCATCGTGGCCCAATTCCCATCGCACCAATCATCAATATGCCCGTCCCTGCATGGGACGATGGTCATCCAGGGGTCCTCGTCGAAGTCCTCTGCGGTTGCTCCGTGGATCGTAGTCACACCGTTGAAATGCCGCACTGATCTCGCGCAAGGAGGAAACGGTTCTGCCAAGCGAATGTGCATTTCGGGACTCATGGTTTGTGGTGTCGAGAAGATCGACTCAAAGATTCGTGGTGTCGAGACGGTCCCATCCATTACGCGCCCTACACACCACGCGCACATACCAAACGACACACACGGGGACGCTGACACTCGTAAACATAGTTGGCGAGCAATCAAACGATATAGGTCCCTCGCTGTGGTTTTGCACTGGGGTTGGAACGCGAGTTGGGTTTTACGAAAGGCAAAAACCTGAAGTTCGCTGGGATTCGAACTTGGCGGAATGCCGTGAGAGAGACACAGCTGTCTATCAAACTCTCCTTTCTATTCTTTTTTGAAGTTCGGATCCCGGCGGACTTCACATTTTCACAAGTCCACTGCTATGGTTGTGCACTGGGGTTGCAACTCGAGTTGGGTTTTACAAAAGGCAAGAACCTGAAGTTCGCTGGGATCCGTACTTGGCGAAATGTCGTGGGAAAGAAACAGCTGTCTGTCAAACCCGCCTTTCCATTCTTTCTTGAAGTTCGGATCCCGGCGTACTTCACATTTTGACAGGTCCACTGCTGTTGTTGTGCACTGGGGTTGCAACTCGAGTTGGGTTTTACGTAAGGCAAAAACCTGAAGTTCGCCGGGATCCGTACTTCGCGAAATGCCGTGGGAAAGAAACAGCTGTCTGTCAAACTCGCCTTTCCATTCTTTCTTGAAGTTCGGATTCCAGCGGACTTCACATTTTCACAGGTCCACTGCTGTGGTTGTGCACTGGGGTGGCAACTCGAGTTGGGTTTTACGAAAGGCAAGAACCTGAAGTTCGTCGGGAGCCGTACTTGGCGAAATGCGGTGGGAGAGAAACAGCTGTCTATCAAACTTGCCTTCCCCTCTTTCTTGAAGTTCGGATTCCAGCGGACTTCACATTTTCACAGGTCCACTGCTGTGGTTGTGCACTGGGGTSGCAACTCGAGTTGGGTTTTACGAAAGGCAAGAACCTGAAGTTCGTCGGGAGCCGTACTTGGCGAAATGCGGTGGGAGAGAAACAGTTGTCTATCAAACTCGCCTTCCCCTCTTTCTTGAAGTTCGGATTCCAGCGGACTTCACATTTTCACAGGTCCACTGCTGTGGTTGTGCACTGGGGYGGCAACTCGAGTTGGGTTTTACGAAAGGCAAGAACCTGAAGTTCGYCGGGAKCCGTACTTGGCGAAATGCRGTGGGAGAGAAACAGTTGTCTATCAAACTCGCCTTCCCCTCTTTCTTGAAGTTCGGATTCCAGCGGACTTCACATTTTCACAGGTCCACCGYTGTGGTTGCCCGCTGGGGTTGCACCGCGTGTTGGGTCTTGCGGAAGGCGTGAACCGGAGGTCCACCGGGATCCGAGCTTGGCGAGATTACGTGGGAGAGACACATATGTCTATCAAACTCGCCTTCCCGTGCTTTCTTGAAGTTAGGATCCCGGCGGACTTCACATTTTCACAGGTCCCCCGCTGTCGTGTGGAGGCTGCAAAACGTTCGACGTTGGATGACCGACAAGGTTCGATGACCGACGAGGTTTGCCGTCCAGTGGCATTCGATGTCCGCCAACATTTCGATGCCCGCCGAGGTTTGATGGGTTGCCAGGTTCGATGCCAAACAAGGTTCGATGGCCGACAAGGTTCGATGGCCAGCAATGTTCGATGTGCGACAACGTCGTCACGAACTGTCTTTTGTCCATTCCCGAACAGGGATCGACCTTTTTCACGGGTTTCTACCATGTGCTGGACCAATTGCCCTACGTGCTGCGTACGACCAATGGACGAGGAGGCAGGTCGAATGCAGTACAATCGGGGCGAGAAAAGTGAACCGCTCGGCTGGCATGTCGGTGCCCTGGTCGGCGACCGGCCGATCAATCAGGTAATTGGCCAACCACAAACCGAAAAGTCGATCAATCAACTAATCAGTTACTTGTGCCAACGCTCTCCTATCAACCAGTTTGCTGGATCGGTCGTACGCCTGCCGGTTGGGCGATCACGCAGAGGGTGATGCCAGGTTGCAACGCAAACATACGTTCGGCTGTATGGTTGGTGGACTGCTGGATCAACCGGTCGTCCGACCGCAGTCCGAACAGTCGTTCAGTGATGTTGGTAGTGGTGGATCTATTGACCAGTCTACTGTTCGCTCGGGGTACATCAACGAGTGTGATGGATCGGTCGCCCGCCGCCAGGTTGGTCGTTCGCGCACGGTGCCACGTGTGTTTTGTTATTACATTTGATACTGGCGAAAAACACACACGCGGTGACAACGTTGAGACAGCACACRCGATCAATCGACCGATCGCGAGCTCTYTRTTCGTGTTCGGCGATTGGTCGACYGGGTGCGTCTRCTGTCCCGACAATGTCACCTCCTGCTTTGATTGATCATCCATTCAGCAGATCAGCGGCGGTATCGTGATCAATCGTGATGGTCCTGTTCATCACTCACGTGCGGTATGGCCGATGTCACCACTCACGTGTGGATGATTGATCTGATGAGTGGAGAAAGATTCGATCTGCCGCGCGGTTCTTATGTTTCGTGACCGGTCGCCTCACGCTCGATCGAAGCTTTCATCATGCATCAGTTACTCAGCTCATGAGAATTGCCCAATGGACGGCCGATCGAAACACGCGGTGACAATGTCGAGAGTGATCTGATTGTGCTCCCTCGATCTGGACTGCATACAATCAAGGAATATTATCTATCTTGTGCTCTGGACTGTCTATAATCAATAATGAATACTATCAAATCAATGAATGCTGTCTATCTACCCATCTATTGTATCTCTGTCGCCACGTGTTTCGATTAATCATCCTTTGGGAAGATCGACGGCTACTGCGTTGGGACAGCAAACAGGAACAATGGAATGTGGTTAGTGGTCAGGATGTGATGAACTGACGAATGCCGATAGCTCCGATYGAACGGRCWGTGGYYGRTYACGAAACATAATCACCCCGCGCTCGAYCGGATGTTTCTCCATTCATTAGTTTCATACACAACAAGATCACATGAGATCCACACACAAACGTGTGGATCTCGTGTGCTCTTGTTGTGTATGAAAATGATGAATGGAGAAACATCCGATCGAGCGCGGGGTGTTTATGTTTCGTGACTGGCCACAGCGCGTTCGATCGGAGCTATCGGCATTCATCAGTTCATCACATCCTGACCACTGACCACACTCCATTGTTCCTGTTTGATGTTTGAATGTC